TGATTGATCCAATTGTGATGTTTATAAAAGAAAACTTGGATTTATGTTTCTCTTGGCAAATAAATTAGATTGAAATTTCTTGAATGTCTTCATCTATGTCGGCTTTTCTAAACGTATGAAACCTTTTAGTACATTTCGAATCATATGTCATCATGCAGCTTCATTGCTCTCATAGTTCGATCAAAATATCGTGCTATTGATCCTTCGTTTACCTTCCGTGCGTCTCTTCCTTGCCGATGAAAATAACTTTTCTCTCATTTAAAATATGTAATTATAATAGAATGATAAAAAGTAATTTCTACTCAATAAATGTTTATTATTTTTCTAACGAAAAAAAAAATACAATTTCATCTAACACAAACAAAATTCAAAATATGACTAAAAGTTGTCCTTTTCCCCTTGCTTTGCCCTATATATAAATTTTTTTCCCTTTAATATACGATATATAAATTAATTGAGCTATGTGCGATAGGTTACCTAAAGTAATTCAAATATTAATATGTATCTTAAATTGCAATTCTTTATGTATATCTCATTATTATTGACTATTGTTTCTCAAACAACTGGTAACAGTTGGAACTATCATAATTCAGGACCCGATATGTGGAGTGAGACATATCAATCATGTGCTAAATATTCTCAATCACCAATCATCATAAAAACAGCATGTACTATTTATCGAACATTTGCACCTTTTGATTTTTCATCAACTTATAATCTTACTCATACTTTTAATGTTTTAAATAATGGACATACCATTGTCGGTACATACAATGGTAACGAATCATCACCGTTCAAATTGACTGGAGGTGGTTTGAATGGAACATTTGAATTTTCTAGCGTTCATCCTCATTGGGGTGAAAACTCTAGATCAGGCAGTGAACATCAAGTGTAAATTAGTCTTTAACAAATCTTTTTTATTCATAAAATCAATTTTTCTTTTGTTTAGAAATGGTATAAAACATGCAGGTGAAATTCATTTTGTTCATATTAATCCTGAAACAAAACAAATAGCTGTACTTGGTATCTTTATGGAAAGCAATCGAAATACAAGTAAAAATGGAACGATTCATTTACGAAAAAGACGCAATAATATCTATGACACTGAAAATATAACAATCATTGAATGGGAAAAGTATTTTGCAACAGCTGCAAATTTAAACGAGATAAATAATTCAGCTGTACTCAATTTAAACTTAGCTTCATTGATGGGAAAGAATCTAAATGATTTTTGGCGTTATGAAGGTTCATTGACAACACCACCTTGTACTGAAGGCATTATTTGGACTGTGTTCAAAACACCTATTACTTTTAATGAAAATGAAATAGATTCTTTTCGAAAGAACATTTCCTTGGAAAATTATCGTAGTCCACAAGCATTATATAATCGAATGGTATATCGAAATTTTTTGAATGAAACATTGTCGCCAATACCTGATTATAATTGTTGTATAGAAAAGTGGGACAATTCATCGAATTCAGCTAGTAAATTACTGAATGAAAACATTTTTTCATCAGTATTTATCGAAGGACATAGATATTTCTTATTTCTTATTATTGCTTTGTTTCATATTATTATTCCTTGTTTGTAACTTCTGTTAGAAATAGATCAGGATAATATATAATAATTATTGTCTAATCTTTATCATATAAAATGACAAGTAAACAATAGAATTTATGTTAAGAAATGATTTTGAGATATTATAAAGGGAAAATTTAGACAGTTTTATTAATCAAGATCTGACTTTGAAGATGGATTTTTAATGATACTAGGAGATGTAATTAAACACAAAACTACTATAGAATAATGAGCAATAGAAACGTTTTTACATAAGATATTTTTTCATTTTTGACCTGCTGAAAAATATTTCCGATGAGTTAGAATCAGAATTTTGTGCTCTTGTGGAATATAGGCTTAGAAATTTTCTCTTAATTTTTATCCTACAGTAGCGAAATAACCTTTAAAAATCCAAAAAACTTGTTTGGATGGAACTTATGGGCTGTCGTTGCCAGTGAACATGTTTGTTCATACGAGCCTGCTTGAAAACATTTCAGATGAATTAGAAAACGACAGATCGCGACCAAAAATTGTTTTTAACGGTGAGCGAACAGGTTTTTGTTGACCCTATAAACTCTTTTTCGAGCATGCGAAAAATGATCGCAGTTGATCTTTTTGTAGAGCGAATATTTCTGTAGAAAATATACTACTGAATTAAGCTGTAACTTTTACTTAAGTGGAGCTAAAAGCATTTTTCAAGAGCTCCTGTCAACATAAAACGGTTGTCGATTTTTCAAAAATGAGTAATTCGGATAAATGAAAATTCAGGTGTCTTGTCCGAAGACAAAAGAACTTCGTATAGTGCCTTTTTGCACAATGGCTTTTGATCTACAAATATATATATATATTAGAGACCTGCATGACTATGATTTTTAGTCACGGTCACAGTCACGAATATAGCTATGAGAAATATATGGATCCTGAAACAGTTCCAACAGCTGGCAATAAACGATGTCTTGCTAGCTAACGAAATCTATTCGTGATCACCAAAATTACCGGCTCCTTCTGGAACTATACTAGTTTTTGAGAGGTCAATAAATTTTATCATAGTGATTCATAATCTGTGTCGATAGGCTAATTGCTATCAATAATAAAGCCCTGATGATCGAGTACACAATCAAGTTTTTCTTATTTTCCTAAAATATGGTTTCTAAACTATTAAGACGTATTGAACTCGAATAGGGTGTGGGGTGTGGGTGTGCTTTTTTATTCATATGCACACCCCACACCCTTTTTATTATTCGTTCTAATGATATTTAGTTCGGTATCCAATTGCGCAGAATTCGATTATCTATAATTTCTCCAGCGGATGATTTTCAATCCGATGTATCGTTTATCTGAAAAGTGATCAGATATAAAAACTTGAGTCTTACTATCATATTCGCATAGCGTTCAGAATAGCCCATATCTACTCCATGTGCTTATCGAAAGATAAATAGATTCGAAGAAATCAAGAACGAAAGAGATTTTATTTGTCTAGTTGATATAAATAGATGAAAATGACGTCATGATTCGAGAATCAAGGTTTCGTTATTTTCTTCTTATTGCGTATTAATTAAACCGATATATATCTCCATCAATATTTAGTCATTTTCTTTTTTTGAATATAAAATTCCTCTTTTTGTAAGGAAAAATATGAACTACTCTTGATAATAATTTCTAGATGGACAAATACGAATTTCTTCAAACAACATTACGCTTGTATCATCATGATTTAAGATGGAAATCAGATGAATTGATCGTCTTGTCTCATCCCATGTCACAAAAACCGGATCAGTTTTAGTAGTAAATCATGGTTTACCAGTGAAAACCGGCGGTTCACCATTAAAAAGAAACGGTTCACCGGTAAGGAGCCGCTACAGTGAAAAAAATCGACGGTTTACCGCGTTTAACCGGAAAAAAGTAGCGGTTTTCCTATGTCAAGGAGTCGGTAGCCGGACCGATAAAATCGCAGTAAGCCGCCAGTTTTTATCCAGTTCTCACTACATGGGATTGCTTGTTATTAAGTCATGGTTTTTGGGTATTCAACGGCGACAATTGAAAATCTTTTTTTAAAAACAAAAACAAAGTTGACTTTCGTAAGACACCACCAGACGAAATTCTCGTTTTAACATCCAACAGTACCTCTGTTATCATGGTTTACACAAAAGGTGGCCATAATTTAACAGTTAACCATGACACAACTGGTTCTTTGTATACTTTGTATTTACAAATGAGGGACAATAAAAAACACGAGCAGTATATTTTGGGTGTGGGTGTGGGATGGATTTAGAGAGGTCCAACACTCACACCCAAACAACAATAAAATGGTGAATAAGACGAATTTGAAAATATTATTAAAGTACAAAACAAGAGATTTTCATTAATATGATTGTCATTCTTGGATATCAATTATATAATCAAGTTTCTTTTGTGGATAATAAGCATGAATGAGTTTTAGAAATAAATTTATCTTAAACATTGAACGATTAATGAAGAAGATTTTGGAAAATTTCTTAATGAAAAAAACTTATATATCTATGATATTCTTTTCAATATTATGAATCGATGTTCAAATGGATTATTTGAATAAAAAATTAGTTCAATAATATGAAAAACTGAATGGTAGACGAGAACAACAAAGTAAACCTCTTAGTTACAAGTTCGAAAAAAATCTTGCACAACTATTAAGGTGTCTTTTCTGATAGATCAACAAATATGTTTAAATGAAAAGAAAAACAAAAGTTAATTTGTTGTGATATGATTTCAATAGAGAAACACAAAACTTTTGTTTTTACCAGAACCATATAGAACATTAATTGAAATCGATTACAATGAGATCAACCAAGGGTGTGGGTGTGCGTGTGAGTGCGGGGCAGAGAGAACAGAATATTCAAAACTACATCCACACCCACGCCCACAAGAGGATGGATAAAATAATGTGTGATGCTATGCTCAACGTAGGAGTTCACATGTCAACTAACATAAAATAATTTCCTGACAAGAAAGATGAATATATACAACGCTTTGATAATATAGATGCCACAATACCATTACACCGGGTATCGAAAGTGAAACGTCATAATACTCTATGGAGCATTCACGTGAGATATATTCATGTCTAGACACTAAATAATTATTATCTCTAACAATGATCAGCTCATTACTCTCGAAAGAAGTACATATAATTAAATCTGAGAAATTTGAGTTGTTTTGGAGTAATGACTTTTTGAGTATCCACTTCGATACCCACGAAGATAACTATCATTCTTCTTTTCTACACGCTGCCGATTAGACGTATTTTCTTTCTTCTCCTTGCTTACTCTGAAAGGTCAACAAGGACAAAAAAAAATATAACAAATAAATTTAAAAAGGTATGTAATCAAGTATTAACTGTTATGTTGAAAAACATTATTGGATCGAACAGCTGAATTGTTATGCCGCCAAAAAGAGGTGGAGGTGTTCGTGGAAGAAGAAAAGGTGAACAAGACAATTCAAAGACAAACACACTGACCACCAATACATCGCAACAACCTGCAACAACAGAAGAAAAATAGCAAATAGCAAATATAAAATTTGAATCAGGGATTGCACCGTTGATTCTTGAAGCTAAATCGCTCACAAAAGTCAAAATCAACCGACTTATCAAAAACCATTTACCGGATGTCAAAGTTTCAAATGTACAAGAAAACCGACCAAATGCATTCACTCTTTAAGCAAATGATGTAAAGTCATTCAACCGATTGCTGAAGGATTTAACTTCGATTATCCAAGATTATGATAAACAATGTTCTTCTATATACACTCCTCGTTCTATTCAAAGAATATTGAAGAAAAATAAAGAAGCATTTGTCAAGAAGGTCGACTTAGCAATAAGCGATGAAGATATCAAACAAACACTAAATGAACAAGGTTTCAAATACGAAAAATCACTTATTTAATGAATAAAGAGGAAATACTGCTCAAAACAATAAAAATCACCTTTTCTGATTCATCAAATAGAGATTTGTTCGTTAAACTCTGTTTGAAAATCGACTCGATGCATTTCAATGTTGAACCAGCTAAACACAACAACATGCCATCTCAATGTTACAAATGTTTTAAATATGACCATGTTGCCAAGTATTGCAGATCAGATAACCACTTATGTTCTAGATGTGGAGGTGCAAATCATAAATATGATTACTGCCATAATAGTAGTCAGAAACCTACATGTTGCAACTGCAAAGGTGAACACTTTGCAACGTCTTCAAATAGTCCAAAATACAAAGATTATCAACAAAAAATACAGAAAACAATTGAACCATATTTATCGTCAGTAAAACAAAGGTCATACATATAAACACATCCAGATTGGAATAACAAAGATGAGTTTCCGGTTCTTAAAAGTCCTAATAAAAACGATCAAATACAAATCATTGAAATACTTACAGAAAAAATGATGTCAATTATGGAACAAGCAACACAAAGAATTTTTTATATGTTCAATCAAAGATTCCAAGTACTCACGAACCAATTTATCAAGAAGTTTAACATTGAAAATCGACGAAATACTGAATGAAGAAGAAAATAATAAACAAGAACCAAATAATAAGAGAAAAACAACAAATAGTCAAGATCATTTTGTACAAGAGCCACTGAATAAGGCAACTTAAAATGAAATTGTTGAAGTTACATCTACTTCAATCATTGGATCGAAACGTAAATATATTTCACTAAGCAGCTCATCTGGCAACGCAATTACCACAGTCAAAGATTCGAGAATTGAACATGATAGCAAAATCGATAATTACATTAAACCAAATAAATGATCAAAATCATGCACTGCAATGGCACCTCAATTAAAAATACAAAGAGAAAATAGATGCACGATTCAATGGATTTGATATTCTATCAATCAATGGCACAAATCTCAAACCACAACATCCTTCCTCACTCCCTGGATACAATATATTCCGCAACGACAGATCAGATCGACAAGGAGGAGGAGTGCTACTAACAGTAAGGAACAATATCAGATGCTATGAAAAATTCAACAAAACAATTGAAAATAAT